TGGTATCTGGCTTGGAGCTACACACACACACAATTTATTTACGCCCGGCGGCCAAGCCGAAAGGGCTACGAACGCTAGTCTAGCTTTACACTTCCTATGCTCAGTCTTGGTCTCCCTAGCCCATATGTCTTCTTTAGCCCACATCTTTATATAGCTTATCGTCTAAATCTAAGCCCTTACTTAATACCTTGGCACGCCTCTTCTCTATCTACGATCGCTCCTCATCAGCTTGGAGCTACAGGCGTGACAGTAATCGGTGGGGCATTCTTCGCCACATATACCTGGACATTGATGGCCACAAGAAAGATACCTCGAGCAGCGCTGGTCACAGGGCAGTCTGTTACAAGGTGCAGAACACGGCCTGAAAGGGAATAAAGGTCAGTATCGGTTTAATTGACCAGGAATGACGGACTCGAGCGATGCTAGACTTACATGGTGCATCGCTCACGATGTTGGCATTCCCATGTGCATCTCTCAATGCATGGCGCACATGGCTCATGGCAGCGCAAGGTGCATTTAGAATGCCGGCAGCGGACTTCACAGGGAGAGAAGCAAAGACCACAGTCTTTTCCGTGGCAAGCCTTCTGACACAAATGGTTACATGTGCCAAATCGGCGTCCGCATGGTCTGGTGCATTTCTGGTGTGAGATAGAAACTTTGCCTTCAGCATCGTTACGGTTACAACTACTACATGTTCCTGGGCAAAGGTGGCCGCAGAGTAACGTTGTAGCGCAAGGGTTTGAGCAACGATACTCTTCTGATGTCACGTCGACTGAGCAGGTCACCTTCACCGTGTGTTTGCAGGACGGGACAAGCTTCTCAACCAAAATGGAGCAGCGGAGTATACCGGGATTCTGTGCTTGAAAGCAGAATACGTTATCCTTGAAATGACCGCAAGGAAGCGGGACATTGTTCAGATTGATGTGACACTTTTCGCAATCCTCCCCGCACGTCGGCTTCTGACAAACATGTCCGCATGGTTCGTGCAGCCTCTGACAAGGCTGTGTGCATAGAAACACGTTGTGCATACTTTCCGAATGACATCTCGACTGGCACATATGGCCACAGTCAGGCAAGCGCCAAGGACATGCGAGGCGACATCCTCCTTCTGGGCTGACTTTGGGAAAGTCATGAGGTTCGTGAACTTTGATCTCGGTTTCGGGATGGCGTGGGCAGTTAAGCGCCAAACTCGTTCCCACAGCGTCAGTCATCCGAAGCATGTTGATAACTTTCTGCCACATGCCAATGTTTGAATATGTGTCAGAGTTGCCAATTAGGTACATTCCGTGCTGAGCTCGACTGAGAAGAACGTTGATTCGATTTGTCGTCCTGAGGAATCCGACCCTCTTCTCATTGTTGCTTCGGACAAGGGAGACAATGATGACCTTGGCCTCTTCACCTTGGAAGTTGTCGACAGTCGCAATTCGTAAGAGATCAATGAGTGTCTTTTTTTCCAAAACGGTCTTACGGTGTGTTGAATGAAGCTCTGCGACTTCATGTTGAGGACTTGCGTCGCCTTCTGTGAATCCTTCCTTATCAAGTGCTTCCTGATCTCGGTCGCTAAGTACGATTTCAAAGTCGTTTCTCATTGCTGAGCGAAGCTTCTGCAGCTGTCCAGTGTAAGGTGTCAAGACAGCGATATCGCTGCTTTTGTAGACACCCTGCCGAACAATGTGGCGGATCAGACTATGCACCATTTCTACTTCCCAAATGTTTGAATGAGATTTGTGGTGCATCTCGGAGTTTTGTCCCTCTTCGAAGTGGTCATGATCTAGCCAGTACACATTCTTTTGCATTCCAACGACATTTGGAAGGTCAATAGTGGTATCGTGATCGGTCAATCTGGGATAGACCGTTTCCTGTATTAATTTCGATATCTCAGGACGCATTCGTCGCTGCACGTTCAGCTGGGCTACTGGAATCCTAGGTCGCCCAGATTGCCCCACAGAAAGCCTTTCAAACTGACTTCGATCTAACTGGTAGAGGCCGCCCTGATTACTTTCGAGCGAAAGACCATAGTTATTTATCTGCGGACGAAGTTGCTGATGGTCTCCGATTTGGATCAGATGTTCGACCTATAAATGTTTTCGTTAGAATGCTTGTGCTGGTATAGGGCTGTTTCTGGGAGAAGTTTACCGTCGGGAGCAACGCAGATAGCATGTGCGGTTCCATGACTTCTCCAGCTTCCTCGCATATCACAATCTTGCATCGCACATGCCGCAGAGTGGAAATTCGTTTCGCCAGACCCGTGGTAGTGATTCCAATGACGTCCGCCTCTTGAAGGACTCGTCGGTCAACCTCGTCATGAATATTTGCTAGTTGCCCATACGCAGAGTCAGTTATCTTCACACTCTCGTAAAGATCATCAAGAGCATCATCGTAGATCTCTTGACACCAGAAATCTATAAGGGTTTGTTTCTCTTGCCGTGACAAGGAATGAACGTTGACTGCCGCCTTCTGTAGAACGTGGTCGATCAAGGTGGCCGCCAGCCTGATCTCGCCATCTCGTGTCGCTGTGCCATCACTGCTATTGGGAGGAAGCCAGACATCAAAAAGAGGCTTACCAACACGCTCAAAACCGTCTTCATCAAATCGACTAAACTGCTTGTGAATCTGCGGGTGCCTGCGCATGAGGTAATACTGCAAATTTGACCAGTTGGCATGTTTAAAAACGCCATGAAGTCGCCCTAGACTTTTCTTGATTTGCTCTGACTCTTGTTCTAAATGCTCGTATGCTTTGTGAAGGAGGAACCCTTCGGATCTTGTCTTGCCTTCCATTTGAGAAATCTTCCGAAGGTTGTGTTCTTCCAGCATGGCGGAGTGGCTCTGGCCTCCGATACGAATAGTCTTCTGGATTCCATTTTCGATTAAATGCTCGAGAAATTGATCAAGCGCGTGGTTGGTATAACACCTTGTCCATCTTTAGCCAAGGATATAAATATTGGAAATTCGACTCACACCACGATGATAGGCCCTAAGTCCACTCTTGATTTACAGTCCATTAGAATCTTCATCAATTCGACGCCGAGATACGACTTTCCTGTACCAGGGGGACCTTGGATAAACGCAAATTCACGCGTCAAAGCTGATATCAAGGCCCCACTTTGGCCACGATCTAGTCCGGTACGAGCTTCAATCATGGCAATCATAGCTGTGTTATCAGGAGAAGAGTTCGAACGCACGTAGATATCGCCATTTCCCACCTCGTCTTTCTTGAAAATGGACTCCAAATTAAAAGCAAATTCAGGACGACGAGTGTAAAGCGGGGCCGGTATGTCAAGAGTGTTTCCGCCTTTCCGGTTCTGCGCGTTCTCGATTTGGTCGGGAAGGATACAGTCCTTAAACGGCAGCCTGCTGTGCTTTTGCATTTCCTTCAAGTTCTCGAGGATTGGTACAAATGTGGCGGGAATGATACCGGGGAACTCTAGAAGAAGTCCACGAGCATTTTTACAGCTCAAGGAAATGGCCAGAGCTACCTGTGTCTGGTCAACGGCTACCAGCTTTAGGGTAATGGTGCACCGATAATCTTCCTTGGTGAGGCTCCGGTCATGCTTCGTGTCTGTATCTCTTCTGCTGACAGTGAAGAACAAGTGCTGAACTTGACCATCGCGAACCGAGATAAATGAGAGAAGGATACCTTCGCGAAGTCTTTTTGAGTCTTGCCACCATTTTTGTCTCTCTTTCGCTGATTTTCTGCGTAGCTGTGGAAGTTGGCTGAACGATAAACTTATTTCGAGACCATGGCGACGGTCGAATGAGATGTAGCTGATGTACGCATCCGGGTAGTGGAAAGCTCGAAAATCTCCGAGACTAAGATTCGGATTGTCGATACAAGCTGGATCATTTTGTATAGTGTGCAAGAACAATCTAAGAGCCGTTTTCAGTTCTCCGAAAGTATCGTGACGAAGAAGACGAAAGAATGTATCGATATGCCTTTCAACCTTGTTTTGAAGGAAGTGAGGCTGGTCGGGATCGGTGGATGGCAGAAAGTCGATTGCATCGCTCATGATTTCCTCAGAAGTTGGAAAGATCTTAATATTAACAATGTCAGGCTTGTCGTTGTCGTGACGATCTTGTGGCATTATCAGATTGCGAGGATATGTCGACTTGGTGGCCATTTCTGATTGCGCGTTATTTTCTTCTTGCGCAAGAAGTCCATTTGTTCGTGCGACAATAGCTCGTATTTCATTGATCCGCCCCCGCGTGATTGGCATGATCAAATCTCGAGTATCTCCAACGACTACTCTAGTCGCTTCTTCCATTAAATCGAGTAAAGACGTGATGTTTTCGTTGAATCGAGCGCGAGGCTCTCTTCTAACAAGCTCTCGAAGTGCAACCAGCATGGTCCGCAAAGTATTCTGAATCATTTCTGAAGAGTTGACGGATGTGAGGTGGGAATCTACGAGTGTTTGAGAAAGATGTTGGAAGAAAGGAATGGCGCGGTTTCCATTCGTGCCACTCACAAAATTGTAGAGCGCTCCGACAGAGGTATCAACGGAGAGACAGTCCAAAAAAGCGCGATGAGTGATGACAGAGAGAAACGAACACGCGATACGAACGAGTTCCTGCTCTTCTCCTGGGCTTGATCGCAGCTCTAGCAAGGCCTTGATATGTTCCCGGCCTCGATAGTCGTCGCTGTCCAAATCGCGTGGCAACATTTGCTGCCATTCTAGATTGTTGCCACTCAAGATGACAAGGCCACCACTCCAAAGCTGTTTCATTGTTCTCTTATCGTTTCTAATAGGTGGAACTTTGATGAGTCGGCGCCATGCATTGTAGTCCACTCTAGCTTGTTGTTGCTCAGGAGTCTCAGGTTGAGGTGGTCGTCCTCTAGAACCATGTGTCTCATTTCCATTTGTGGAAGGCAGATCATGGGAGTATTTGCATGCTGAGCCATACTTGCAACAGCTGTTCTTGAAGTAGCGGCACGGCCTGGGGCCGGTCCAATTTTTTCCTTTTTCGCCCTGCCCTAAATGGCCTCGTCCAAATTCCCTCCAGTCTCCTCTTCCCCGCCTTTTTTGATTAGATGTATGCATTATTCCAATTTAACGTCTTTTGAGATTTTCGTGTGACGCTACAGATGTGGGTTGATTTTCAACGGGGAAAGTATGCAACGAAAGGTGAAAGAAAGAAATAGCTGGGCTTAATACAAAGCAGAAATATTCGTCAGAGTGTGCTGGCACATGCTTCAAGAAGCGCACCTAGATATGCAAGGAAATAATGTCTGTGCGGAGAAACAACATACTTGTACATCATTGGAATCCTCCTATATCAGCTAATGCAGCCGAACATGTCCTGCAAAGTAATACGCAGTGGTGTGAGTTGTCAATGCAGAGGATATCCGGCTGAGCGGATTCAAATGATGATTGACTAGGCTCAAGTCCAGGCACGTAGTAATAGTGGCCAGACCCAGAAGTGGTCACCCCAACTACTCCGCCAACAGCAACTATTTTTGACTTTTGAAGCTACCCACTACCACCACAGCGCGCTCAATATAGCTACTTCTAGAGTTGCTATTTAATCTGCTATTCGAGATTGAATATCGTGGCTGTGTTTATTGATCGCAGGAAGCTGCTGCTACTGCGTACAGCATTCACGATCAACACGACGCCATCGTCTTGCTGGGCGCGTTCAACACGTGCTAGCTCACCACTACGAGCAGCGACTATCACTGGAACAAGAGGATAAGCTCGCCGATTGGATCCTTCGTGAAGGTAGCTGCACGCGCCCACCTAGTCATGCGCTTCGGCAAACAGTAATCCATGTCCCCAGGCAGAACAGTGACACTACCCCTCTAAGCCAGCATTGGATCTTCAGCTTCTCATGTTGCAACCCGCGCGTCCGCTAGGCTATTTACAGGAATATAAATGCAGAGAGAGCCAAGACAGCTACACAAATGGCTATCATGGATTCCTTTGAGCTACTCGAGCGCACCAAATCGCACTTTAATTGTCAACACATCGATATCTACAGTGTAGATACGACTAGCGTTACCATAGAAGTCTATGATATGGAACTCTCGGGTAGTTGCTCCGACTATCAAACATAAGGCTTACGTTCAAACACCAGAGACTCGACAGTGGATTTCAATCATGAATTGCGTGTCTGCTATTAGCGCTAAGTCATCGCTAGTAATGATCGGCAAGGGCCAGAACATCCATTGGCTATAGATTTCAGCCGAAATACCTAGCTTGTACTACACTACTTCCGTTAATGGCTGGATCTCAGATGATCTCAGTGTTGGGAAGTTCGATTGCGTCTTTATACCGGATAATACTACTGTGATTGCTGCCCGTGATCGACTGTTCCTGCTCGATGGCCATTGATCACATTGCTCCAGAGTTCAATTAGGCTTGCTACTATCACTCAAAATAGTCACCTCTTGTATCGGCTTGCACACTCCTCTCATGCGCTACAGCCTGTTGACCTTTCTCCAGTTTCTGTCAATAAGTTGTTACCGCAGCCAGATTCAAACCCGCGCTGCCCTTACTAACACTGCGTAAACTTGGTAATGAGAATATTTCACTACAGTTATATACCGATGGCCGAGGTAGCGAAATGGCACCTGCATAGACTCCGAAGAGTCATGTGCTTAGTGTTTTGGTGAGCTTAGAAATACCATGTATAGTCAAGTTGTTGTCCACTGACTAATAACGATAGTTACACATGAACCAGAACATGACGTATTTACAAAAATTACCGTCCCTCAGATCTAATACAAAAGGAATTTTTATTTATCGAGGATAGCGATGCTAACCGAATATGGGTATTGCGACAGCTCATGACCGCAAATAGTCGAATGCAGATAAGCTTTCTACCCCGGCAGTAGATAAGGTTTAGCGTCAGCGCATACGCACGTTAAGAGGATAATTCCCTCCCATGAGCCATCTTGGAGAGTGGCTGTAACTTTCTTCTCCCATGATCGCCTGTTAGTTGTGTATGCAATGGCCAATACTGTCATTAGCGATTGCAGCTTTGCTCCTCTGGACAGCGTTCCAAAAGCCCAATCATTAGATGTTCGTGGATTGACTAATTACATCAATTATTCTGGAGCCCACTTCCTGCGCTAAGCTACATAGGCAATGGGGGGCTGCTCAAGTGTGCTGCGCAGCTGCATGTATGGGTGAAGCCGCAATCGCTAACGACTGTACAGCACGTTACGTACTGTATGTAGGTTGCTTATCTTCCACCCATAAAGCAAGACGATCTTTCCCCGCTTTCACCTTCGTCACTCCTTTGTGGTGCTGTACTGCTGTGTCACGACCACTGAATGCTGATACTCTTGATTACGCTTACAGCCTGTAAGCAGAACGAAGGCTGCGACTCGAAACGCTGTGCCGCAATCCTAACCAATCACATTACGTGCTAAGCGATCACTATCTCTTGGCGTTACCGAGGAGCTGATCAGCCTGTAGCACGGCCTACCAGTAATCAATGTGAAGGATGCTGCCTGAGACGCTGCACGGCAATTCTTCCAACCGTGCCGCAAACACATAACGTACCTAGTGATTAGTACGTCTTAGCACTATTGAGCATCTAAGCAGCGTGTGCTAAGCACTATAACCAGTTGTTATAACTTGACTTTTTTTTTCTCTATTTGCTATATAGCGTATTAGATTAATTATCTTAGAAAAGAATAGCAGGCCATACTCTAACCTACCGCAATCAGGGATTAAAAATATAACTTTACTGTTAAAGTAAAAGAGTTTAGGTAAGCGTTAGCGAGACTATTACAAGCAAAAGCGGAAAGGATCTCCTCTCCAGGAATGACAGTATAATAGTTAAGAAACTACCTAGAATACTAACCAGAAACGATAGATATCATAGGGCTAGGTTACGTAATTGTTATAAGTGTTATACGGGGTTCGAGTCTATACTGTGCCGGTGCATAGGGTCACGTGTGACCCTTGTGCTGACACTGTGGTACAGCCGTCCTAACTATAAGAGCGGTACTCTCGTAGGTAGCAGGAGAATAGACAGGGAATAAAGTTTTAAAATCCCTTTACTATACTTTTATGACTCCTAGTAACAATACTCCCCCTACGATAATATAAGAGATTTAATGCCTAACGCTACTATCTACTATAGTAGAACTTATAGCTGTAATATACTCTACGCACTCTTATAATAGTAATGCCTAAGAGGCTATAAGCTTCTACTCAGAGAATTTAAATACTAGTATCACTATATTGCGATAATAAATAACTATGAAAAGATAAGACTTATATAAGAGGGATAGCTGTAACGGGCTGAACGCCCTTTAGATAGCTCCTCAATGGAATCTCGGTTGAAGCCACGCTCGCGCTATCTGAACAACGTTCAGACGACGAGCGCAAAATCCAGGTGTTACTCTAAGCACCTAGATTCTACTCACTGCCTAAGCCGCGCTTAGATACCTAGTATAACCTTTCTCTAATAGGTAAATAAACACTACGTAATGTTATAAGTAACAGCAGGAAGAATCCTCTCCCTAGGTATGAGGATAAATGGTTGGGAGACCACTAGGGATCCTAACGAGTAGAATAATTATCGTAGAGCGAAATTACGTAACTTAGTATCCTACTAAGATATAGCCTCTAGAAGGCTACTATAGATAGAGAGACTAACTGTTACGACCAGCCTCAGAATGTGGAGGACATTTCGTCGTTACGTTTATTTAACGAGTAATTTGTAAGAAGGCGACATAACCGCAGGAAACGATACGCACTCTTTAGGATTAGTTATCACGTGACTGCTTAATAATGAGCGCTCACCAGTGAGCAGACGCTTAGCACTATAGCGCTCACTAGTGAGTAACACTTAGCAAAGATGCTCAACATTAAGCGCTCATTAGTAAGCATTGCTTACTATTGAGCACAACACTTACTTAGTATATAGCATTAAGCCTCGAGCCCTTATAGCTTAATATGTTTAACTTAAGTTCTGAGTATAAGTATAATACATAGAGTTATTCTACTTACCTAAGTTACTATCCTATTGCACACTATCTCTCTATCTGCGAAAACCAACCAATAAGAAGCTTAACACCAGAGGTCTTATATTACTTCCACTTAAGCTATACTCTTAACACTTTAAATACTCTCATAATGAGCGATATTGCAATAGACACCTTAACCGCTTCCTAGACTAGAGAAACCGCGACCAACGCCTACAAGCCTAACCTTTACTATAGCGACCGCAATAAGCTCGAAGCTTAGCTCCTCTAGGTCAACCGTTACTTCTACTTAGCCGGAGATAAGATCGAAGATAACGATAAGGTTATCTTAGCTACTAGCTATTACTAAGATAACGCAGAAAAATAGTTTAGCCTAATTATTAAACATTATATAGATAACTCTATTAATAACGCTAACAACGCCGCCCTAGTTAAAGACTAGGACGCTTTTAAGACCAAGATGCGACAAAACTTCTTACCCTTTAAGAAATCTCTAATCGCGGAATAAAAGATCTAGACCTTACGCTAAACTAGGTCTATAGCTAATTATATGACCTAATTCTAATAGTATACCACGTATATTAAGTAGAACGATAACGCTCTTATGCGCATATACCGCCAGGGCCTAAAACCCATAGTACGTAGAGAACTTATAAGAAGTAGAGCTAATATTACTAACCTTAACAAACTTATAGAAGAAGCTATTAGACTTAATAATAAACTCTATAAGCTCGCGCTAGAAGAACGACTATTTAATTAGAGAACGCGCAACAACAATAATAAGAACGATTAGCCTTAACAGTAACACTACCAACGTTCGCAACCTAACTAGGGACAACATAGAAGCTATTAGCCTAGAACACCTAGTGCATACGCAACCAACGGGTACGAACCTATACACCTTAACAACCTTAATAAAGAAAAAGGACCTAGTAAGCCTTACTATAAGAAGAATAAGAATAAGGACGATACTAAGAAGAAGATTAACTACTATATATATAGTAAGGAAGGCTATATAGTACGTAACTACCTAAGTAAGAATAAGGTTAAACGACAGCTTAACGTCCTACATTAGAAATTAGAACTAGATAATAATAAGTTATAGAATGTTATTACCTAATTAGAGATCTAATACTATCTAGACGACATAGAAGTTATTAGTAGATTAGATAACTTAACCCTAACTACGTCTAAAGACACATCTAAAGCTAAGCTAGTTAGCGATAAGGAATATAAGACGCTAGAAGAGGAATAACCTCTTGCGTCTAAATATAAGAAGATAGTATAATTCTAGAAAGGAAATAGACTATCTATACCTTACGTAAAAAGGTAAGACAGCGTAATACTAGAATTACTTAAGACTCTATACTAAGACAGCCTATAAGAAGTAAAAAGATAGATTTACTTACTATCTACACTACTTAGACAATCTAATATAGTCTACACCTATATAAATAATAATAAAGAAATACTACTTAATATATACTAAACNCTATAGNACCTANNATTAGANANTAACTTCTATAAGATTAAGATAACTTAACTACTACTAACGTACACGCATATTACGGCTAATATTAAGAGATTAGAATAGAGACTTATACCCTAATAGGCATAATAAGTAAAATAAAACTAAGAATAGAATAACTCTAATAAACCCGTATAGTACTAGTATAACGTAAG